GATTGCCTTTTCTATAGAAAATAGAAATATCTCTTTTTCTAGCCTACTGTCTTTCTCAACCTTTCCTTCTGACTGGCTTATAGACTAAAGGTACTGAATGAACTGTTTTGTACTGTAACAAACAGAAAAATGAGAAGTTTGAGTTTCATTTTACAGTATTTTTTTATCTGTTAGAAATTCAACTCACTATTTCTAGACAGTGAAGAACAGTAAAGTATAGTAAAGAACAGCTTCAAAAACATATAGTAGGACATATGGTGAAAGTGCTTTTCTAATAATAGTGACTTGGGTCAAAAAGAGTTTCTATTTACTAATAACCTACTAATAACTTTTGTATTCACGATCTGTGAATGACACAACAGAGACTTAATAAAACAAGGTTGCTACCATGCAGGCTTGCCCTTCCTATCACCATGCCCCATGCATGGTCAGGATACATTGGACACACACCTGTTATTTATAATCCTTCCTGAAGGATTTTACATCCATTTTAAATGAGAGAGACATAAAACAAGAATCCATTACTTAAATTCTCACTTAAAACTTGATCTCCTCTTTTCCGGGGAGAAAAACCCACCTTGATGCAAACTTTTTTTCACAAGTGATTTTATCATCTGCATATGAATGCATTTCTTTTATTTCCTTTAGTGCAATGAGCTTTTCCTGAATGAAAAACAAAAAGCAGTTTTAATATCACCAATTCTATTCATCCACTATAATTTCTAGCACAAACTTCAAATATGTTAAAATAAAATAATCCTTATATTTTACTAGTATGACTGAAGATCACAATTTTTAGTATTTTAATGGTCAAATTAAATGATTTTTGTCTCATTAAGTGACAAGAAGTTCACGATGGAATTACTGCTCACTGCTTTTGTATTTTCTGAAAAATTACTTAATTCTAGTAAACTCTGGCCTTCACTCATGCAGAGTCACAGCCATAAGGATCCCAAAAGATAGGTCTCCTGGCATAGAACTACTGTGAATACCACACAAGCAAAACAACATCAATAGCACAGAAACATTAAATTAAAGTTAATATTTCTGTTCTGCACACAGCCTGCAGAATATGGGGGTTCAAATTCTACACTTACATAGGTAAACTTATTTTATTATCTCCTTTTTGGACACCATAACAGTTATCTGTTCATTCAATACATAAATACTACCTTACACTTACAAATACCTGTTTTTTTCATGCATAAGTGCATGCGTGCAGTTTGTACATCTAACATTTGGTGTAAAGGTCTCAGTACTCGAAGTTACATTGCAACGTACCCATAGGTGGTAGAACAGGCATACTATTAGATATAAGAAAACATCACCTGAATCAGCTCATGGGCTAAGTGTCCCAGAACTTCTTGAGTAGTTTCATTAATTTCTAATTCTGTCATGATTTCCCAGTTACCATTCTGGAACCTCACTGGCATAGAGAAGACAATTCCTTCAGGAAGGCAAAATTGACCTGTAGAACAGGGAAAAAATGACCCAAACGTATTATTTCTGATTAAAAAACACAACTTCACCAGCATCAAGATTAAGTCCTACAGACCTGCAAAAGTCTTCAACTGTAAGATCTTAGTATAAATGGAGACTGCCTTTTTCAGTGTACAGTTCAAAGACTAAAGAGTTCCCCTTTTACTGTAACTTTTTATCATAGAATCACAATAGTTTGGGTTGGAAGGGATCTCTAAAGGTCATCTACTTCAAGCCCCCTGCAGTGAGCATGGACATCTGCAACTAGACCAGGTTGCTCAGAGCCCCATCCAACCTGACCTTGAATGTTTCCATGGATGGGGCACCTATCACCTCTCTGAGCAACCTGTGCCAGTGTTTCACCACCCTCATAGTAAAAATTTCTCTTCTCCAGGATGAACAGCCCCAGTTCTCTCAGCCCTTCCTCATAGAAGAGGTGTTGTTCCACCCTTCTGATCATTTTTGTGGCCTGCTCTGGACCTGCTCCAACAGGTCCATGCCTTTCCTGTGCTGTAACACAATTGTTGTAACAATTTTACATCTTAAAAAGGGGAATTTTTTTTTTTATTTCATACAAGGGTTAAATGACTGTTATGAAATATTCCATTTATTGATCCACATAACTAAACAAGAATATGCTTTTATGGCTTAGGCTCTAAGAAGTATAAAGAGTCGTGGTGCAAAACACATACGCCAGAAAAGCATTTAAACTAAAAGACTAAAAGACAATCCGCAACAAGACAGTATTAACTTAGGAGATGCATGTAAGAAGTATCAAATCACAAGCTCTGGAGAGCAAAATTGCTTAGATTTGGAGGTTCTTCTGCTGAAACAAACTCTCAGTCTCCCATTATATCATGATTTGTTTTACAAGTTTTTATGAAATGAACAATCTTTATTAAAAATTAACATTATACATACCAGAGAAAGCTACAAGAAAATATGTGAATCAAAAGTAGATTTACCTTTACTAATTATTCCCACAGAAACGATCTCCCCAGGAGGAGAGCCATGATACCAGTATCTCAGTACAGTGGCTACCGCATGAGCAGGTAACATTCCTACACAATGACAGACCCGGGAACTCAGTGAACTCTTTGCAGATAGAAATTCTGAATGGATCCATTCACTACCAACAAAAAAAGGGAAAAAAACAAAGAAGTAAGAAAAAACTAAGATGACTGCAGGAAGAGTAGTCTTCTAGAGGAAACAAGAACTAAACGTGAGGGAAGAAAACAGGCAAAACTTATTCAAACTTCACTGCAGAAGGCAAGGCACTTAAAGATAGGAAAAAAAAGTGTCTAACAAAAAGTGGCTCAAAAGGTAACAACAAGCACTACTTCTCTACGAAAGTTAGGTCACTTACTCAAGTCATAACCTCTATTCTTATAATTATTATTATGTATTACCATCTTACATCAAAACCCAGCCATGACCCATAACCCCCCTGTGCTAGGCACAGTACAAGTATAGAACAAAAGGAACATCTGCTGTCCAGTAAATGCCAGGTTTAGACCAGACTGGGAGCTCCATACAGCAAGGCCTGAGTGTATGTCACATCCACTGCCCTCTCACTCTGCCCACCCTTTCTCTGCTACTTCTATGTCCACAAGAAGCTATCTAGCTGCCAGGTATCCTTTTTACATATGTTAACAAACTGTCTATTTTGTGCAACTGACAACATTAGTGTGCTCAGGCTGCGTGTTCAACGGAATTCAGGGACTTCAAGATACAGATATACGTTTAGTATTATTTCAAAGTTTCTTCACATATACTAGACATCTAAGTCACTATCTGGACTTTCATTACTTCTTACAGGCTGCTCATGATACGCCAGAAAAAAACCACACTTAATATGTAGGAAAATACAGTTATAAACAAAGGTGGTAGGAAAGTCAGAACTATGTATAGCACTGGGAACTACTCAACCTCTTTTGCAGACTGACTACTTCAACTGGAGTTTTCCTTTATGTGCAGCACCAGTCAGTAAAGACAAATCTCAAACACAAAACCCTTTCTTGATGTTTATTAAACAGTTCAGATAAACATGGATTAAAAGCAATTATCTATTTTTACTTTAAAAAAATAAATCTGTACTGTACCTGTCATAAAGCATATTCAACAAAGGGCGTGGAAAATTAGCTGGGCCCCAAACAGCACAGTCATATCCATAAAGTTTTGCATGTGACAAATCAATGTAGTTACAGCCAGTAATATTGCCCCAAACAATCACGTCTTTAACTCCTGTAACAGAGGAAAATAGATAGATTAATGAAGAGATAGACAAGTATTTTCACAATGTAGGCTGGACTAGATGACCTTCAGAAGTCCCTTTCCAGGCGAATTATTCTTCAGTTCAGTGTCCTGCCTTAATAACAGAAATTATTTGATCTGAAAAATGCAACAAGGTTCTCCATAACCATATGAAACCTCGTCACAAGCTGAAAAAGCAATTTTAATTTATATCATCCTATTGTACATAATAGACAAAACGTAGTAATACTTAGCTGTTAAAAACCAAAACAAATCACATTGCAAACATACCACAATGTTCCTTTTAATATCCTGTACATGCAAACGTAGAATGCCTAACAGTAAAAAATCACTGAAAAAAACAAAATCTACCTGCTTTGGTGTGAAAGGAATTTCTCAAATGACCTGCTGATAGGCTATTCAGCCTATTAACATACTTTCTATTTTATTAGGCTTCACAACATCTAGTCTCCTCATTGATGACCAGTTCCTAGAACTGCAACATCAAAAGAATCCTAACTGAGCAGGCTGTTGGAGCACACCTTTGCTATGCAGTGCAGAACCGTGCAAATACAACCGAGCTGTAACAACTGACCTGAGAAACAAAGCCAATTAACCCAGAAATAATACAATAGTACTACAACATAGTTCTACTATACTCTCATTATCTCCACAGTGGTATGTTGTCCTGTTTCTTCACAGCTATTTTGCGTGTCTCCAATGTAACAATGCGCTGCAGAGTGCAAATGCAATCTTTAAGACCTAGTTCCTGATCCGCAACACAGCTCAGTCCTCCTTAGTGTATCTCCAGCATGAAATATACACCAGAGTGGCAAGGCAAGCAGAATTGACATTCGTGGGATCAGGCACAGATCCAGATAGCAGTAAGCACAGAGAACAGTAGCACCTGCGAGTCACACCCTGGCATTCTGTACATCCATGCAGTTCAGTGGGTGCACTGCTGCGCCTGCGTTCTGCAACGAAATATGTACTCTCAAAGGTGTCCATCCACTGAACTCCCCAAATGCTACCAGAACACCAAATATTCACCTGCTGCATTCATATTCAGCTTCCTGGCCAGCATGGCTTTAGCTGCACTTTCCCAGGGTGTCGCAATGGCAATGACATTTTCAGGCTTAATGGACGGGCCGTATGTCATAATCATCATCGCCTTAAGGTTTACAAAGGTTTTTCCTGATGAAATTACTCTGACCTCACTCTTGGCATTCTTTTCAATCAGGGGAGCATACACTCGACAGATCTCACCCACTTCTCTGGTGTAGTTCTCAAGGGACTGGACTTCACAGTTTAAGAGAACATCATCAAGAACAATGATAATATCGGCTTGATTAAAAGCCTCATCTATTTCAGTGTGCTCTGAAATACTGCGCAGGAGTGGGAACGCCATGTCTTCAGCATCCATTACAATACCGCAAAGAACTTCCTTAAACTGGTCCAAGTCAAGCAAATGGATACTGATTTCTGTGGTCATCCCAAACACTTCTCCATCTGCCAGCAGAGGGATCAGTTGAGAACAGATTGGAGCTGATGCACTGACAAGAGAAGGATACAGAAAAATTATAGTTAATGACTAACCACTGCTTGTTTGGAAGTATTACATAAATAAACACAAAGATCTTTCTTTTGTATTTGATTATGCTTAAACCGACCATTAGGTTGGATCCTTTATTGCTCTTTCTGTCATTTTAACAGGCCAAAAACTAAACCAGTTGGGTCCTCCTTTCACTTGAAGATTTTTCCATCCTATACATTTCAGTCCATACTGTCACTCAGAAACTGATGTCTTTAAAGAACCCTGCTTTTTTTTAAGGTGTTCTGCTAGGACAGACATTTCTAAAGGTAAAACTGCAAAAGACTCTTATTTAAATATTTCCAAAAACATTTAATGCAAGATAGTTGCACTACAAAATTCCTAGCTTATTTTGGAAATACTTGCTTTTCCCTAAGGTGATCTGGGGTCTAAATCTTGCCTGTTCACATCCATCACTTAAATTGCTGCAAAATGTAACAGAAGTAGAAACAATTTCTAAATTAGATACTGAATGCTCATAGTGAGGGGCACAGAACCTAATTCAAATCAGCAAATTACAGGGATTCATGTATAACTACAGGTGGTTACACCTGTTATGTGTGATAGGAAAAAGTGCATTCTTCCAAAGCTGAGTGAAACTTCATAGTTATTCTCTTTACTCCCACCTGGTGATCCAGATCTGCAAAGGCTCGATAAGACTTCTAATCTCTTCGTCCTCTTTTTCAATTTCAACATGTGTCTGCAGGTTCTCCTCAGCAATCTCTAACATTTCCTCACTCAGCATCGTTGAGGTGATGCCGTAATAGTGCTAAGAACAAAACGGATGATCTCTATTCAAATGACAACCCAAACGCAGCAAGGTAACATTAGAAAGGATAGTTTTATTTTACATTTGAAGAAAGAATAAAGAACAACAATGTTATAAGAAAATGTAAAATATGAGTTTACAGTATCAAAGGCAGCTCAATACCTCAACGTATTCCAGGAAATCGTTAACTCCTCCCAGAAGCAGACCCTTCCCTCCACGGTCCAACAGTTCCCTCCAAATCATAGGAGACTGTCTGTGTTGCCATCCATTCGTTTCACAAGTGTCATGAAGCCACTGCTAATGTAAACATCCCCACCAACAGGTTTTAATACGTTTTCACATTTGTTATCACTTAAATGTTACAGCTATAAACATTCTTATTATTTCCTCTCAATACATAACTACTAGGTGTTTCACAACTTACGTACCAGTGGGCGCAAAATGTGGGAATGACACAAAGCAAGGCATGGCGATACACTGTGATAACTCAGCAAAAGGTCTTACTTACGCTTGATTTTACTGATGTAATTTTGCTCAGTTGTCTTAGTGGTACTGAAGATAGCAATGTTGTGAAACAGCAAGTAATCTGAGGATTCCTATTTAGCCGCAGAAGGCAATTAAGCTGCAGAGGTTAACTGCTGTTCACTAAACTGTTTGAGTTCCTTGGCTGAGGTGTCAAGCAAAATATAAGAGGTAATAAACATTATAGTACCTTGTATCTCATTAAGTAACACTGCAGATTTTTCAGTTCCTTATGGGGACTACAGCGTAGACATGGCAACATGTCTACAGCAAAAGTACTCAGAAAAGCCCATCCACATTGTAAACAAATACATGAGATTTAATTTCTTATTTCCATTGTAATTCAAAGTCCTTGAATGCTAGCAATGCTCTTGACAAGTAATAACTCTGAAGGCATATGCAATCACAGTGTGCAAAGTATTTACAGGCTGAGCAGCCATTTATACATAATAAAAAAATAATAAAGCTGAACTTCTTACTGACAGAACACAGTTTTAGGCTGGCCCATGTTTTGTGCCCATCTTCTGTGGTAAGATTTACAAGAATGCCAGTCTCTCACAGCATTCAAACCTTTCCTCTGGCTGGCTCTCATAGCCAAAGCTGCTTCTGCAGCACCTCTACCCACAGATCAAAATGCTAATACAAGAGAGCAAGAGACATACTACAGATAAGCACATTTGTTGCTTTGCAGAGCACTAGGGCATCTACCTTCTGACTTTGACTTAGAATCCCTTACCTCCCATTCATCAGGGTGCTGAGTGATCTTGTGAACACTGAAGTCTGGCAAGTTAGCCTGGAGATAGTCAGCCAGGAGTTCAGCTTTGGCATAGTAAGGGCAGTTTGCTTTACCTGTGAACACAGCGACAACACCACAAATGGAAGATTTTGTGACACTGACTGATAAGGACTTAACAGGCCACGTATTTTTTAATTGTTCCAGTTAAAAAAAGTCTCACGTAACCAGCACCCCGTGTGTTCCCAGAAGGTAACAGGACAAGCACAGGAGCCAGCAAAGAAAGGGTAACTCCGGAGGGGAGGCGCGCTCTCCACCCAGCGTGTCAAGTGGCTGCGGGGGCCCCCCGGGGGGAGAGCAGCAGAGCGAGGCAGCAGCCTGACGGCCGGGACCGGGGGCGCAGGCTGACCGGGGAG